ATTTCCGCTTGATTTATAAGTGTATAAAGGCTTTGACTCCAGCTCCTGTGAAAATGCTATTAGAAATATTAAACTGCAATCTCTGCCGGAAAAAATTTAAGAACTTATTCATAAAATAGATATTGGAAATGAAGTATAAAAAAATAAATAAAAGGAAAACACAATATACCACCTATTCTCAGAAATGTAGTATTAAAAACAATATTACAAATTTGGGAAATAAACCGGAAACATCAAATTTAAATATCACCTTTTAGTTGCAACGTAGTTAAAGATTTAACGGGAAGCCCCATGATATAGGTACTATTTTATGACCTATTATTTGCTTTAGATTATATCTGTGGAGCAATACGGGTATGAATAGTTAATTAAGGAACATTCTAGTTGATTGATTTTAGAAGTACCTACCTGTTATCTTAAAAAAATTATACTGCGTCATAACAGCCTGCGAACTTAGCGATGATTAGTTTTATTCCAACATTAAAATTTAGAATTTTTAAAGATGTAATGAATTGAACTTTTTTCGTGTAATAATTTCACAATTCTTAATATTGTTAAAAATATCCCTGGACATGACGATGTCCTGTTGATTATTTTTTTAGTATTAGTGTTTATTATGATGATCATAAAATTCATCCGGGTTTTCAATCGTTCCTACTTAATTTGCGTTTTTTTACCAACGTTGTACTGTATTAAACCCTAATTTTTTTCAAATATTTGTACGAACAATTAAATAATTTGTTTCAAAAGCGTTTGACGGTAAATTTCAAAGTCAGAGATACCAGACTATTTCGTTGCTTGCTATTGTATATATACATTTGAACAATATTGTTGTTAAAATAAATACTCTTATTTACGTATTCTCCAGAAGTTTAAAGCGCTTATCTCATTTATCAGAATGTTTGTGACTGATTAGTGTCATATGAAATGATTGCTTGCTGTCGTCAGTTGATACCTTTTTTCTTTAAACATGTTATTTAGATATTATCATCAATCATCAGTCAAACAGCTGACGGAAAGAATTTAGTTAAATTTCGTTCTAATTTACGTAATTCTAATTTTTAACGAGATGAAACATTCAGTGTTTCTTTTCGCTGACTTTATAATAAATTATACATTCGAAAATGCATATTTTCTTCAGATGGCCCTCATTTTTACCCAAATCATCCTGTCGAAACGTTTTCTTTTCAAAATATGCAGAATTTCATCAATCTTTACCTGATTTTTTTAGAATTCAAATTACTTTAAAATTGAGATAAATGAGAAAAACGGAACAAAGTAATTTTTCTGAAAACTGATTTTCTCAAAAACGCCACCTATTATTTTCACCAAATTTGGATATGTTTTTCAAGGCCAATAAGCTAACTTTTAGCCAAGCGGCAATAGGCCAACTTGCTCCGTTCGGGAGATGCACATTTTGAAAAAAACAGTTTCGATAGGATGATTTGGGTCAAAATTACGGCTACTGAAAACACTAAGAAAAACACTGGTCTCATAAAATTCAAAGTAGATTAACATCCCAAAGTTTCAAAAAATCGAAGAGGTCGAGCATCTTTGAGAGTTTGCATTATTTAATTATTTCAGTATGTCAAGTACTTACGTGTTTTTAGCAGTATTTAGATAGACCCCTTTTTGTTTTAGATAATTGTTGATTACCAGCTTGACTATGGAACTGTTTGTTTAGTATATCTACATAACAAAGAATATATGACTTCAACCGATGAGCGTTTGCTAAATGTTTAGAATTTCAATTAGTCCAAGATGGATTATTATTTTATATTTGACAACAGAAGTCTTACTTAAAACAAATACTAACAAAACAAAGAAAGAATCCTCTTCACAATTTGTAAACTTTCCGCAATCTGTGAGGCTTTTTGTTTATTTAAAACGTGATTACTTAATACCCTTTATAATGGTTGTCATATTTGTTCATGAATCTGTTTCTAATTAAAGGCATAACAAATCAGTGTTATTTAAAAAGTTTTGTATGATCTTGAGACATTTTTTTCTGAATACACTATTTATTAATTAATGATAAAGGATTCAGAAAAAATTGAGTCATTTCCAAGTAACATGAAAAGCCTTTCAAATACTTCTAAATTAAGATAAGATCAAGAAATAAAATTTCAAATTTAAAAAACTATATTATCTTGGTAATAACTATCAGTAATATTAAACATAATTTCGAAATTGAGGACGTATATTTTTTTTGGCGGCACATTAGATAGTACATAGGCATATCAACAGATGATGCTGAAATTGTGTTGATTTTTCTCAAAAACTTCTCCTAATTCGACAGCCAAACTTCTACTACTAGTCCAGGCGGTATCTGTTTCGGGTTGGGTAAAACGCATATGATCGGAGATTTTTGCTTTAACGGCTTCTAAATAACATCAGAAATGATAATATTTCTATGCAAATAAAAAATACCGTGGGCTTAATTGTTATTGCAAAAAAGTATAAAAAAATAGCAAAAAAATTCATTTTTTTCTTGCATTTCTCGTCGACAACTTAGCAACTATTCGTTTTAGACAAAAATGGAAAAGGAAAAAAAGTTTTGTAATTAAATTTTGATCAAGATAGAGTTAGTTGCAATTCGAAAAAGTAATTGTTATTGCAAAAATCGGAAAAATCATTTAAAAAATTGCAAAAATGCTAGTTTATTTTCTAACGACTGAAATTGATTATCGAGTTCACTTGCACTTTCTTCTGGCATATCTTCTTCAAAATCGATTTCGAACTCGTCTACTTCCACTGTTTTGTAAGCATTTTTACATATTTGCCCTTGGTAATGGGTGCAATACTCAGAGCATTTCTGAACTCGAGAATTCAGATCGGAGTAGCTGTGTGTTTGCTCCCCCCACCACTGATACCTCATTGATTTCAAGCGGTCTTGACATTTTAAATGGGACGCCCGTGATTGGAAATTTTGAAAATTTATATCTGGAAAGTACTCGCAATGACAAACCTATTAGTTCAAAAAACAGCCCTTATACCCTTATAGTTTTGCTTTAACTTTAACGGGCTATAACTCCGAAAATAATGGGCGGATCAACAGTTTTTTTTTAAATACTCTTTCCGAGTACTTTGGTTTATATTTTAAAATTAAAAAAAAATTTGAAAAAAACATTAAATTATTGCAATTGTTTATAAGCGTGAAAATTGCGAAAATGTTTAAACAATCACCACGGCTGACCTAATCGTCCGATTTGAATTTTTCAAAAACCATTTTAAAGCTTGAGAACTCTTCTTTTTGTGGTTTCAAATATTCAAAGGCTTTAGATTTTTAGAAATTTGATTTTGAAAATTTTTTAATTTTAAAACAAAATTTAAACAATTAGGTATTATGTAAAAACTATGGAACCGAATTGGATGAAATTTGGTGTGATGATTCTATGCACTAAGAAATTTAATTGGGAAGAGTATGAAGATCCTAGGTATTATTCAAGTGTCTGAAAAAAATTGACAAATTAACTAGCATTTTTTGCAACTTTTTAAATGATTTTTCCGATTTTTGCAATAACAATAATTATTTTTTCGAACTGCAACTAACTGTCTTGATCAAAATTTAATTACAAAACTTTTTTCCTCTTCCATTTTTGTTTAAAACGAATAGTTGCTAAGTTGTTGACGAGAAATCCAAGAAAAAAATGAATTTTTTTGCTATTTTTTTATACTTTTTTGCGATAACAATTAAGCTCACGTTTTTTTTATTTGCTTAGAAAAATGATCATTTCTGATGTTATTTGGACGATAAATAAGTTGATATTTTGGCATTTTGGAAAACGATTATTAAATAGGTCTTGTCAAGAGCAAAAAATTGTTTTCTATGATAGATCAAGTACCTTTTTGAGAAATGTTACTTACATCTAAAATGTATGTCATGTACCAAATGTGAAAGATAATCGACCTACCTACTTATTCTTTGATTTGACGTATTTTAGATTTAATCACAACGGATTGCTATACCATTGCCAAACATTGACATACATTTTTATTTTTCTTCTAATAAAATTTTTTCTCCTCTCTACAAAAAATATACTTTACTTTCACATGATGGGGAAATTAAGGCCGATTAATTCTAAATTTGAAACAGGCATAAATTTATATCCTGTACTTGCACTTTTTGATAATGATTAATTTTGATATACAGAAAAGGCACGTTTTACCTTCATATAAAATGTGTAATTTTTTTGTTTGTAAGAGAATTTTTGAAAAATAAAAATATTTTGCATATTATTTTTTAACCAAACAGAATTTTAAGTAGTTATATAATTGTGTTTAAAATTACTTAATTGCATTTAAAGATGAACATCTTACAATTAGTCTTTTTTGCAATGTTATAAGTGATAATAATTACTAAGTTGACAAATTTACTAATTTTGCTCCAAACTATGTTCTTTGGAAAAATTTGTATGGCTAAATAACCTATCCATTTATTCTCACTCTTTTATGCTACAAACTTAAAACTTACTGCAAAAAAATTGGTAGTTCCTTTTAAGAAAAAGTGGTTTTTATGTAAACCATTTATTTTAATAATTTGTGTTCATAATAAAATGGATTGGGAATTTCTTTTTGAAAATTTCAAATTCGGAAGCTGTATTTAACCTATTAACATAATAATTATATTTGAGTAGGATATTCGATGCATATTTATAGTTTATTTTTGTTCTGAAATCTTCGAAATATGTCAAATAGATTATGTTCAAATATCTTTGAGATTTAAATGATATAGTTCACATGTAGATATGAAGAATCGATATATAATTTAGCAATAATTTAATAAACCAATCGTCTAAATTGTAATTATTCAACGGTCAGTCTGGCAATATCTGAGTAGCCGTGGATCTTTGACCTCGTCAAGAAATAGATTATAATTATCCTAACTTGCAAACGCAACCGGGAGATTCCTTGGAAAATGACGATAGATTTATGAGAGAATAATTATATATGACTATGGCTTATCTATCTTATCAGCTTACAACAATATAAAATATTACAATGCGCGCAAGTCAACAGGTCTATACAGCACTGAAATTAAATTGTTCTAATTGATGACATATTGCGAGCAAAGCGCCTTTGCTTGTTTCTTTTCCGTTTAAATTGGTTGAGGTAATCGTCATCTGAGTTGGTTCGTGAATTATTTCGCCAATCCTCGATTTGTGTGGCTGCTGGTGTTGGTTTTGTGATGATAGATGATTTATTGCTAGTAAGTTCCTCTTTTTTGATATTGGTGTATTAGATTGTACCCTTAAGGCACAGTTTAACTGCGATATTTGATCATGGTAATTAGTTGAATGTTAATTATGTAGGCTTGGACGTAATATAAGCTTCACAGATGATTTACTGGTTTTAACAGTCATTTTGCTTTTTTATTTTTTACTTATTACAGTTATAGATTTTATTCTTTGAACTACTTAATCTAAGAATCGTCGCACATTAAAAACAAATTTAGAAAAAATTATACTCAAATCGGAATTAAAATAATTAGATAGCTAATTAGTTTGCTAATGTTCTCTTAATTTGTTTTATAACAATATATGAAAATATCTTTTAGAAAGGAAACAAAAATAGGTTTACATTTGCGTGAAAACGATGAACAGGATTTATTTTGCAGAATTAAAATTTCTATTTGGAAAATAATTTCGGAGGTTTGTAGAAATAGCTAATTTATTTAATCAATTTTACTTAAATGTACCAAAATATGATTTTCCATTAAAAAAAACGTGTACAACATCTTTTTATATTTGTATATAATGGGTCAAGTCCCTAGATATCGATAAAATACCACAATAAACTGCTATTTTCTTTTAAGAAAAAACTCATTTTTATGCAATTAATTAATTTTTACGTATTTTGAACGGTTTACAATGCAGTAACACAGGTTTATCATACAAAGAAATTGAAGAAGAAATTGACATGTGTCAAACCGCCATTTTGTGACAAACGAAAATAATAGGTTACGGTACTTGGTCAATATAGGAACTTTACGTATAGATATACAACGTTCAATTGTTTTTCAGCACAAGTATTAAAACAGAAAATTATTTCTTTATTTCATCCTGAGAAAATTTCCGAGTTATTATTTTTTAAATTAGAAAGTAAGTAATATCAACGCAAAATAATGATTTCACAGAAAAAACCTATACGAATTTTTGTCAGAACAACAATTTTAAATACAGTGTGACAAGTCTAAAAAGTAATTGGTGTAGAAATGTTGATTTTTTTATAAGAACGTTAAAATTAAAAATTTCTACATATTTATCTATAAAAATTTTCTGTCAACGGGGTAGTAACTTTATACATATGTTGCTGATAAGGGACTATATTTTTAGAAATGCCATATGCAACTAATTTTGTTTTCTGCTACAATAAACGAATTTTATCATATGACATAATGCTTACCCTACATGAAAATTGTATTTCTTCAGAATAGCACGTTCTTGTCATTGTTTTTCATAACAATAACATAAGTCAGTTGTTTAAAATTCCAAGGAGAGCATGATTTCTTATTTAATTTCATTATACGAAAGCTTCTTGTCTACATTTATTTTGGTTATACAATTTCTGTCAGACATTATTATTGTGACAGGATATTTTTAGATTGGTCAAAATAAACATCACAAAGTGATCATTAGAGCTGTTTAAAAAATAAATAAAACAAAGCCTATGTGTTTTTGACGAAAATGCTGCAGCAAATCACATAAGTTACAGGGTATTGGTTGTAATGTCAGTCCACTTTAATGTTCCTATTTTTACGTCTAATTTTAAATAATATTATTGATATTTTATGTTGAAGTTGAATTTTGTGGAGGATGATTTTAATACTTATAACAAACCAACCGTATGACTTTGTATTTGGACATGACGTTTTTTTCAGGATTAAAATGATATAATATTTAATGAGGTTACTACTATAGCTAAGAAAGAAAAAAATATATTAGAACAGGCAATGTTAGACTTACAGCATGTTTTAATAAAATCTTTTAGTTTATTAGCCAAAGAGGAAAAAAGGGTAATATACCGGGTGATTCATTTTGGCATTCGCGGCCCTGTATTTCTTTTATTTTAACAAATACTTATAACAAACCCTATATATTTTTAAATCGCCGCTCAAATTCTATCAAATGACATTATTAGATCGTCTCCATGGTAACATATGTCAAAATTGCTATAGTCAACTGTTTTTATTCAAATGGCACACTATACATTTTTTTATCAATTCTGGAAGATATTTTTTTTCTGCGTTCATCTATGTAAGGAAGTCTATAGTTTCATTAGAAATATTGCTAGAAAAACAGCCAAAAAAATGAACTCTACTTTTCGTAGCTTTATTCTGAAAAATGATAATCAGCTATGGAAACAAAGTTATTATGTTTTTTAAAGCAACATTTTAATACGATAATAATATAACAATTTAAAACAATGCTTATTTCAAATGTTCAAAATGACCTCAATATGCTTCCAAACACAGAAAAGCTCTGTTTATCGCTCCCTGTCTTCAAACACATTCTACTGTTTCTTCATTTAATCTCCGACATTCTACTCTTATTCTGTTTTTAAGATCGTCAATATCATTTAGGTAAGGCCAAAGAAAGAAATCTATAAGAGTGAGATCCGGAGATCTAGCAAGCCATTTAACATCTTTATCGAATGTTCTTCATCTCTCGCCCTTTTGAGTTTAAAAACTATTCTTTTCTTTTGAAAACTTTCATCTGCCAGCAAATTCCTGGCTAACTTTTCGAAAATTTTTTTTTGATGGAAGTTGTCTTAGAAGGAATTAAAATCATTTCTAGTTTTTTTTTGGTTACTGTAAGTATTCATGTTATAATTATTAGTTATCAATAGAATAGGTACGTACAAAATATCAATTATTTTGACAAACCGTTATTTAGAAACATTAACATTCAGTTATTTCCGCAGCTGGCTATCATTTTTCAGAATAAAACTGATGAAAGTAGGGATCATCTTTTTTCTAGCAATATTTCTAATGAAGCTATAGACTTCCTTATATAGCTGAACAAAGAAAAATTTTTTTTCCAGAATTGATAAAAAATATATAGTGTGCCATTTGAACAAAAACAATTGACTATAGCAATTTTGACACATGTTACCATGGAGACGATCTGATAATGTCATTTGATAGAGTTTGAGCGGCGATTTAAAAATATATAGGGTTTGCTATAGATATTTGTTAAAATAAAAGAGATACGAGGCCGCGAATATCAAACTGAATCACCCGGTATAGTGGAAAGGAAAATAACGTAGAATGTTGCAATCCTGAAAAATCATTATATTATAATACACAGAGTGCTTTGACTAAACATTATAATTTCAGCTTACTACACTTTTCAAGAACACCTCGTATAAAATTCAAAATAATCATTAAACATTTCTACTCTGTAGTTACAAATTTTCAAATTTGGCATTTTTCTCTAAACTTAAAAGTGGGGATGACATTTATAATCAATAATTCTGTGCACAATATGTTTCTGAAAGCTAGAATTTTGGAATTTCATCAAAAACTAAATTTTAAAATTATGTTAAAATACATGATGACATTGACATTCACATTACAGAAAGAATATCTATTGAAACGTCCAGTTTTTTTTACAGTAAAAATTATTTGGACTTTATTAAATTTTTATTTGTTAAACTTTTTAGATAATAAACTTGACAAGGTACTCTTATTACATCGGTATATCATGAGAATAAGTAACAATATTGTGGCAATGCAATATTAGCCGTCATATTTACATTCACAAGAATAAATTAAACGAAAAACGAATAATAATTTGTGGTTTTCTAGGAAACAAAATGTTATTGCTGCTGGGAATAAAAAATAATTTTACATATAATTTTCCGAGAAATCTTAATATAATAATAATTAATCATTTGCAAAACTTGAACTAAATGTTATAGGAAAATCAATTGATAGTGAATAGTCTGATCTCATTTAAGCTTTTGACTAGCTTAGTTATTTTCAAAAACAAAAACATATACAGGGTGAATTCACTTTAAATACAGATATAACAGGCATCTGCATATGTTAGTAAGCTTTACGATGATCTCGTTCCCAAATTTGGTGCTTCTTCAATAACTAACTACTCAGTGTCTTGATCTAGACACTATTGCAGCTACTATCCTCGAGTGGAGTCAGTTTTCAGAATTGTATAATTACGACTTTTAAAAAGGATAACACAAATGATTAACTGTTAAACTGATTGTTAATTAGATTAATTACAAACCCTCACAAAAACAAGGTCGTGATCTGGATGACTGACCATGGTATTCCAATGTATTTTACCCCTATTTAAGGGATGTTTTGGCTCAACACAAAAATTTAATGTGTATATGAATTTTTTGACCTCGAATTCGGCTTTAGCGTTGAAAAATACATAGAAATACCATAATCAGTCAACCAGATCACGACTTCTCTTTTTTTTTGTGGGGTTGTGTTACTAATGATTGCTAAAATATATATTTCTGTTGATAATAACAAATAAACTGGTGAATTGATTCTATCATCTATAAATTCATTGATTTTTGTACGTGGATGTAAGTCTTTTACGTTGTGTAAAGACTGTTGTCATGACAGTTACTAAATATCACGTAAATGTCAACTTATAATGACAGTTTTCGAAAAAAATATCATTGAAGAATACATAGCAACTTTTTTTTAATAAAAATTTATAGACAAACGCGCAAAAAAGTTATGAACATTTTTGCGCTATTTACGTATTTATTTACTACTTATAATATAACAATAGAATATTTACAAAGGAAACTTTTGTTATTCTTGTACATTATTACGAATTATCATTAAAAGTGCAAGCTTTTTTCAATCATTTATCACATATAGCCTTGCAAGTGTATGGAATTTAGTCAACAATAATTACTTGGTAAACACATATTTTCTATATCTTCATTATTATCTTCAGATTTCTTTTTTTTTTTTTTTTTTGTTAACTTTAACCCTTGCGCGATATCTAGTACAGTGGGAAATTTATTCCAATGACAATAATTAATTTGCTGCCATGCTATCAACACATTTGTTATTTATTGTTCATAATCGTTTAAAAAACAAATTACTGAACTATTAACTAGATTATGTATTTTTTCTGCTCTTAGGCTTTCGAGATATGTATGTAGTTGGAAAAATATTCGGTGGATTGTTGTTTAATGAAACATACTTTTAATTTCCTCCGAGTATGAGGTTATCTATTGAAAAAAGTGAAATATTTTTAATTATCCCCGATCATATTTCTGTTATGTACTATGGCTTTGTTACTATAACTGCAAATATATGTTGTGTGTAGTAAATATTAAAAGGACAAATCCTGAACTCTATTTTTGTTTCAGAAAAGAAAATGAGTTTGCTAGCGACCTTTGAGACAATCTCAAAGAACTTCAAGTTAAAACCTCAGGCATACATTATAGACAACTGGATCTTTAGGCTGCACTACAAAGCTTCAGTTCTAATTTTTCTAGTCAGCAGTCTTTTGGTATGTTCCAGACAGTATATTGGGGAGCACATACGCTGCATTGCGGATGGAGGTGTACCTGAACATGTCATGAACACGTTCTGTTTCTTTACTTCGACATTTACAGTGGTGAGTGTCGAATATAGACATTAAATTATTTAATATACAATTGAACGGTTTCCACATGAAAAATATGTACACTTTTCAGCCTTGGGTCAATATTACTGAGGATCTGTTATCGAAAACAACTGACGTAGGTTTCAAAATAAGAAAATATGTATGCTTTTGAATCTTCGTATACTTTTTCTTTTATTTGTGCTCAATTGCATTTTTGAGATCGATGCCATCTTATCTACTACGTAAGGTTCTATCCACATAATAACCTGCATGTGTTATTTTCACAAGCGATGATAATATTTTTTTTGCATCAATCAAATTTCAGAACCTGTTATACTAGTGCACCCACATCTTTTGATTACGACAGCAGAATTAAAAATGCACGCTTTGTTTTCTCTAAATTGTATTATAATAGCAAGTAAAGACTTTCTATTTTAAATTTAGATCAAACATCTGGATGCATCCTTACTGGATTCGGGTAATTTGGCACATCCAGGTGTCGGTCCCTATGGTATGAATTCAACCGATCCCATAAAGAAACATGCGTACTACCAATGGGTGCCATTTGTTCTATTTGGACAAGCGATTATGTTCTACATTACCCATATGCTTTGGAAAAAACTGGAAGGTAAGTAAATATCTTTAACATATTTGGAAAATTCGCTGGCTTTCTCAACTAAATCTAATTCTAATCGAAAATGCCAGACAAAAATCTATCTACTAATTGTTATTGAGTTACTTATCCATTGTTTGTAAATGTGACTATATCGATGTATTATTAAAAAGCTCATTATATGAGAAGGAATTTTTTGTTACCTTTATATTCGGAATATTCCTAAATATTCTGAAAAATATATTCTGTTTGTTTCAGGGGGAAGGTTGAGGTACTTAGTGGATGGACTTAAATTGGCAGCTTTTTCATTAGCAGAGGAAGAAATCACTGTGCGAAATGACAAAATTCCATCACGTAAAGACAAGTAAGAATGTTTTACTAAAAGATTGCAACCATATCGAAAGTAGCATAAAATTGATTTTGATAAATAATATAGATCACTATTTTTACATATTTCTTTATGAAGGATGTGACTATTCTATGAAATACAATTATAATTTTCTTTTTAAATTTATATTACTATGTATTATTTTTATATTGCTATTTGTGCCACTACAAATCTTCCAGAAGCATTAATTAATTATTTAATTATTATACTTTATATCGAACTTAAGAATATATGTATTATTTTGCTGTGGTCATTATTTTACACTTCTTTAGGAAAAAAATATTCTTATAACTTTACATCATTTTAGGGAGGAAAATATTAGGGTGATCAGAGAAGCCTTCCTAACAAGGGTTTACATCAACAAATCCTGGTCCATCAAACTGATTTTCTGCGAAGTGCTAAATCTCCTTCATATTATCCTACAGATTTACATCACTAATAAGTTCCTGCAGGGGAATTTTAACAATTTAGGGGTGGAAATTATGAATGATGGCTTAGAATCCAACGTAGACATTCTCGATGAAGTATTTCCCAAGGTAATATTATTTGATTATTAAGTTGGTCCTTAAGTAAGGAGTGATTTATCTATAAGATTTAAAAGCGTTAGGAGTGTTTGAATTTTGAATAATATGCTGGGTATTCTTGGTACTTAAAACAACTGGAAAGCCTTTTAAATGTGTATACATTTAAAACATGTAACATACACATATTTAAAGTTTGGTTTTAAATAGCAGTACATTTTTCAATACACTTTGGATGTGGCGTAGAGCTCGCTAGTTTACAATGAATTGTATCGAAACGTATCACATAAATTATTTAGACAAAGCAACAAATGAAGAAAAAACTTTTGTGAATGCAATATACAATATTTTAGTGAAACTCATAGTTTAACATTGTTTTAAATTTATTCAGTAGTGTGATAAATTTAAAAATATAAAACAACAAAGTAGAATTTACTTTTTCCTTAGAAATATCACTAGGAATTAAAAGTACTTACAATCTTATTTCCAAAATATACAGCGACATCGAAATTTTGGGTGACAATGTATCTCAACCAGTGGTTAACATTGAAATTTATACCAATTCAGTCCATTTTTAATTAGTTAGTTTAATCATTGGCTCTAGTTACCAGTAACTTTAGACCCTTGATCAATTAAGGCCTTTTGGCTCAAAATGACACAAGGAATAAGCTCCTGCAGTATTATGACTTCAACTTAGAAAACGGTCTGTATATTTCCAGTTTGAACATTTAGTTGTAGAAATAGAGCTGAACCTTCATAGGAGTGTAGCAATAAGATTCTTCGAATTCAGGAACAATGGGACAAACTATTACAATTACAGCCAATTTAATGTCTGAGACATTTTGTTTCATCGATATGCATCAAGTACATTTAAAGAGATATTTATTACCTTCATTTATAATTAACTCTACCCAAAACTGCAAACCATTAAAGACAATTTAATGCTTCATCTTCATTAACATAGGAGTTAAACAATCTACTTTTTTATTAGGTAATTCTTGCAATTCAAGGCGTTGGAATGTCTTCATAATTTACATGAGAAAATTATAGAGACCGACTCAAAGCATGTACGTGTTTTAATTGTTTTAAATTTGTTTTTGCTATATATAGACCAAGCTTGCACGCGTGTAGAAGCAGATAACCATACATCATGGTGGCAGTTATTGCTCCGCAAACAATCGCAGTGGCAGTCGCTACGCGCAAGTTAGATTGCAAAGGAACTTAGGATAAAAGGAACGGTGTATATCTGAGTATAATTATTTATATCGAGTCTATTTGTAACGTGGTTCCTTTGTATTTACAAGTTTTAATAAGAAAAAATGAAATGAACAAAATGGAGCATTTGCTCAAAGTATGTATGTAGTGAAAGCATCTACTTCTAAAAAGCCAGACTAGAGCAAAACCTTCAATTCGCATGAAATGCTTTTACTTCGGGGCAACTCCTTAACTTCTGGAATGCCATTTTTCAAACATCAATTAGCTTATGGTATACAGGGTGTAAGAAGTTTGACTGCCATTACTTCAGCATGAGATAGAGTAATCATAAATGAACAAAAAAGTTGTATATTACAGGGGCGTAAGATTAACAGTTTTCAAAATACAGCGAGTATTAATATTGGGGAGTTTCATCACAACGTGACAACACCGCTTAACCTGCTGATGTACGTGTACACGCGGCAGACTTGTCCCATGGAAAAAATGTAAACAACTATTATTGTGAAACATTTAGTAAATTTCAATTGTTTTCCAGTTTTTAAATAAATAAAATAAAATTTTTCGATTTTGTAGTACTAAGATAGTGTTGTACTTAAATTTTAGCTCGAATTTTAGTAATTATGAATTTCTTGAAACAGGAACTTAACTTTTAATCGAATTACGTATTTGAAAAATATGTAGTTAAAGTACCCAAAGATTCAAGTCGTCCAAATAATCATACGTATTAAAAATAATTTAGGTACTTACCAAAAATCTAAATTCAGTAATTTTTAAAAGCACAAGTACAAAACAGTCTACAATATATGCTCAAAATGTCTCTTCAAATCCAATTTTCGCGCATTCGCTCGAAAACACCTTAAGAAAAGGAAATAGTGGTATGCAAAAAACACTCCGACACGGTCGAATCCAGATACCAACTGAATTACGTATTGGTGGTTGCTGGACACCTTAATACCTCGTGTTAATAAACCGCCGCGCCGTTGTCACATTGTCACATTGTCACATTGCTCGATACGAATTTAATCGAATTTTTTTATTACTACGCTAATTATTTTTTAGAATTAAGCATAAAGAAGTTAAAAAAAGTGAAAACATTGTATTCTATGGTATTCTATGCACGCGGTTATGTCAATATTCCTTAATTAATCTAAACTTTTGTACATCAAGTTGGAGATTTTGATAATATTTTTCTCGGAAATGGTTGAGTTTAGGACCCATAAGTTTTTTTTTTGTTTATTTAATGTATTCTATCGTCTGTTAAAATTAAGGCAGTCAAACTTCTAATACCCTGTATATGGATTTGTCTTGCTATTGGTCTAACTATTGTAAAACTCTCTCATTTAGAACGGTTTGAAGCTTCTGTGGAAGTTGTCAATTTTCGAGCTGGTTGCTGATCGTGTTTTGGCCAGTATTTATATTTGCTGTGTCGAGTGTGACATTTCGGTCCTTGATTGTTACGGATAAGTCGTTTCCAAATTCCTCTCTCACCAGAATCATGTGCCTTCTGTTCTACAACTGCTGATTTCTCTACAATGTTGTTGAAGCACAGGGTAGATACAAGGAACTGAAATGATCTAAATCATACCAGAATTCTGTTGAGGGAGATAATATCTTGTCTGAGATTCAACAAAGAGCAATAAACATTCAGATAATTTCTATCGAGGTGAAGACATAAAACTACTTGAATTTAGAAACAACTCATTTCTAAAAGTCAGGACAGGAACTAACGTCATACTACCAATTACGTCATAATACCAATGGCGTCATCCAAAATGTTGCAATGTTTTGAAACCTTTAGATGAATGAAGAAAATAAATTGTAGTAAGCTTTCAATATTTTATATCAAAATTAGTTCTATTGGAATATTAGAAAATTCGATAGATAAAACAATTTTGAGGTTGACAGTAGCAGGTCTAGGTTTGAGTTTATACAATTTTTGGTGACGGACAACAAAATCACTGTAGTTGAACAGATTCTACAGAACATTATCACGGAAAGAAACACCGATATTGTATTTTGAATTGAAATATAATACACATAATAGAAGCCCCTTCTGACTCTACGCCTCTGCCGTGGTGTTAATTATAAGCTAAAAAAATTCGTCCAGAGGTGAGAGGTCCGGAGAAAATTGCATAAAGGAGTTATTACCCGTTGTTAACTGGATATGAGCGGCGGTTTGCAGTTGTATTGAACAGATAATTACAATATAATTACTAAAATTAAGTTGTAAGAATATTACCGTACGTGAGTACATGCTAGACCTCGGTCGATGATGGAGATTGGGTCATGCCCCTATGAAAGGGGGGTGAGCTTAATAATTACGAGTTGGGATCGGTAAACAAACTTTTCAACATCGCTGAGAGCAGTATAGTAATTTCGTTGTAACTTCTGTTTGCTTTCAGTGTACCTACTAGACATAAAAAGTATCCATAGTTAAAAAAAAAGAATATTTGGCATGTCATAATTCCCATTCTCGTTTTTTGTATATAACATAATTATTGCAAAAACGGAAATTTAATTCAACTGATAATTTAGATTTAACTAATTGAATTTTTTGATAGATAAAATGTTAAATAATTGTTTCTCGTTAAATGCTGGTTTTTCTCAAGTGAATATCTTTTAAATTTAATTATAGAAAACATTCGGCTAATGTTAAATTAGAAATTATATAAACAATATCCTTTCCTGTAAATATCAAAGCAAGTAACTGCGAATTTGCGACAAATTTTAAAAAGTGTTTTCTCTCGCCAACACAAACAGAAAACAAGAACCAAAAAAGCTATTAAATTTGTATGATCACCCAAAAAAATATGTGAAAGTAATTTTTAATTAATAGACATCAGAAACTTTGAGGCGACAGTTAAATCAATAAACATTAGTAATCTATATTATGCTAATAAGCGTCAATACGCGTTGTAATAACAGAAATAAGTTAAATCTGTGAACAAGCCGTGTGCCGCTCTATACTCACAATACACAATACTACTAACTGCCACAAAAACACGTGCCATACACTCGACCAAACAAACGACAATGAAATGCACTGCCAACGTTCCTCAATAAAATACTGGGTTGTTCACCGGCACGCCGGGCCGACAGGGCAGGCATTAGAGTGCCGCTAGATAGGTAACGAATAACTTGATCGATGCGAAGCTTCAGATCAGAGGCAGCAGATATGTACATGTTATTGTACAATGACGCGGATAGTCACATTACTAAAATGTCCTTCGCTACCATTAGTCATCAAGCAAATACTTATATATTCTTATAATTGAAAATAATCTTTTCTTAATTGTCATCAAGTAACTAGACGAAAGCCAATTTTTTGCTAATTTTCCATTAATTTTAGACCACGTGTTATTGCAGATATCTGATTAACCTGATTGGTTATCTTTCACTTTAATAAGAGTGAAGTGCGCTTTCCAAGTAAGATGCTAATATTTATCAGCTGATGTAACTGTGAATTTTGCATAAATATCTGAAGAAACAAAAAAGCCTTAGCTATTATACATAAATATTTGATTAACTGTTTAATAACAGTGTTTTATATTCCATTTTTAAAGCACTAGAGATTTTAGCATATTTGTCTCCCAATTAAATTTCGTTGTATAAAAAATTGTTTTTGGTTTGTTGAGGAACTGCTGCTCCATCCACTGGGATAGAAAAATAACTTTACAATAAGAAGTTCAACAATACAGCACTTTAATTCTGTAAATAACGAGGATGACGCAACTCAACATACAGGGTGATTCAGAACTTATCAAAAAAAAAAAAATTTGGATGTACAGGGGACTCTTACAAATACAATTTTGTAAACAAAAAATCGAAAAGGGCAGTTCGAAAATGATTTAAAAATACACTTCTGGAAACTGTTTCACTGTAAAACCTGAAAGAATTTCGCAAGGAAAGAAATAAATAGATTTTATAGCACCTATCTTATAGGTATCATTAATTAATAAAATTAATTTGTGGTTTTAAATAATAAAATAAATTGACATACCTGATGTTACAACGCCTGTTCAAAATTTCGACCGACGTGTAAACACATTTGGGTGCACAAATATTTTCTTGCTTCATCATAAATTAAAACGATATCTACAAACTCCGAGGTTGCTATACATGCAAGACATTTTTGACACTAACTATACTAAAAAATTATTGTAAACACTATGGCAACGACGACTATAAAATCGGATTTCAGTATTTGGAGTCGGCGAAGCCACATGGCTCTCCACGCGTATTACGAATGACGCTAGATACTACAGTTGTCCAGTTATGTAATGGTTGAAAATACTACAACTTCGATATTTTTTTTCTCGGAAACTATAAAGATTTTATAAAATTTTTTTTACGATGATGACTCCATCTATTCCCAAATTTTTTTGGATAAGTTGTGAATCACCCTGTATACTTTCATTAGTATTCTTCCGCAGTACTTACTGATCTCGACCATGTCATTTTCAAACCTGTATCGACAATTTAAAAAACTCACCTCGTATACAGACGTGATTTTCTGCAAAACGGCATGTGGAAAAAGAAAACAGCCTGTAAGCACCATTAAATAAAGAAAATGGTACTAACTACGACTAGTAGAGAGGTTTATTGACACATAGGGAATTATTGCCTATGGTAAAATACACATAAAGCGACCGGTTGGACGTGAGCAACATTACAAACACTGAACGTAATGGCTAATGACGTGACGTACAGGGTGTTAAAGTATAAAGTGCCTGCTAAACTGGAGTGTAAAAATGTTTACTCAAAAACCTTTTGGTAGTATGTTGTTATTGTTGTTGTAATGATGCACAAATCTTCACAAAAAATCAGTTCTCTGCTTAAGAAGTAACGACTAATTAAATTTGTTAATTAGACATTTAGAGAGAAAGGTTTTTGTAACTTTTTTAACGCCGTACTTGACTTTTTAATAAATTAAATAAATAAATAGAAGTAACTTGATGTTCTGCTTCATCAGTTTCCGAAATTCACTCATTTAGGATTATCCATGTAAGCCCATAAAATAAAAACATTTGTCTTTTCTTAAATTCTCTACCAACAAAAAAAAATCATATTTAATAAAAAACGTCGTATTCAAATTTATAATTTTAAGGATCTTAATTGACGCTAGCAAATAAAGTTACATAATTCGAAAAACAACAAATCAACTATCTCGTTCTCCTTTTCAGGTGACCAAATGCACGTTCTACAAATATGGTCCATCAGGGTCGCTCCAGTTGCACGACGCGATGTGTGTCATGGCTCTCAACGTCATCAACGAAAAGATTTACACTTACCTGTGGTTCTGGTTCGTTTTCTTGTTCATCTGCACAGCGCTCGGGCTGGTTTGGAGGATCCTGACTCTATTCCTTCACTCTAACAGCAAGAGGTTCAACCAGATGGTATTCGCAAATACTTGCCCTGGTAAGCTGAATCCTTGGAACGTGCTGACGGTCTCGAAACGTTGTAACTATACCGATTGGCTGTTCTTGAACTACCTGTCGAAGAATATCGACGGGATGGTGTTCAGGGAGATTTTCATCGGTTTGGCGGAGGAGCTCGAGGAAAAGGAATCGTCGAAGGAGGCTCTAATCATGAGCGAAGAAGGCAGCAAATACGATTAATAATGGTATCATCACTTTCAACGAATAAAATTTTAAGATGGTACTATCTGTTTTTATATAACGCAAGTGAAAGACAATTGAAATTTTGAGAAAATTCCCATTATGTATCATAAAATAAACATTAAATAAAATTACTAATTAAACTTTTTAATCTAAGTATTATTTGTGTTCAATAACGTTCATTTTGTTATGGATATTTTAAAAACTAAATAAAACGATTGTTTATATAAAACATGTTTTTATAAAAATCAAATGTGTACTTTTAAAATTGTTAAAAATTACCTTATAGGTTGACCATTTTTCAGTATAAATAGTTTTTAAGTATATGTACCCCATTTTATAGATCTGTATTTTTAAGTATAAGTTTTTGACATACTATGTTCAAAATAATATTTTATTAAGTACTGTATTATAAATGTAGTACGAATGAATTTTGTACTAATGTGATATAATAAATGTAATCAGATAACTAAGTTGTTTCAATTTAAAATTCTGCTAAGCACAATGTATATAAAAATGGCCTAATGATAATAGTGTAGGCACAATCGTTTCGTTAATATCCTCCTGAAGTAACCCAAAAATGATAAAATTTGAACGAAACTACGTATTTATTTTTATTTGAAAAAGTCTATAAGAAATCAATTTATACAATTGTATTTTTTAATATACAGGGAAATAAAAAAACTTTATTACATATCTTTAAACAAAATTAAAAATGTGTAGGTATTATAAAATGCCACTGATCTGCAGTTTTATGCCATGAAAGAATTATCGAAGAATGTTATATTTAATGTAGAACAAATATAAACATATATATCGTTTATTTGTGATGCAGTACTAGCTTTTACGAGAGCAATGTTCGAGTAATTAATTGCTGGTTGACATTTGCCGCAAATCAATAAACGATTATACATCCATTACACAGCTACTAACAGTTGGTAAACAATTTTAATTACATGGAGGATCCTGCTGTCGATCGACATCAAGGACGATGAGAAAGAATGTTTATTTAAATTAATTTAACAATGGTTTATTGATTGGTTAAACAAAAAATTATCTTTTCTCATTTTTTACACTTTTATAAAGGTCGTAAGCTAACTTAAATAAGTTCAAAACATTTTTACATAAAAAATTCTATCAAATGAAGTTTTTGATATCAACAAATCTATTTAATCTCACAGACAAGATCCTTAACTATTTAAAACAAATAAAGTTAATTATACCTATTAAGTCATATAATATACAATCATCGTAATTAGAAATATGTATTGAATTGAAACAAAGTAAGATTTACAATATTATGTTTCTGAGAAACTAGAAATCTTCTTAGATTTCTATCTATACTTACAATGTTAATATAATAACTCCTTGACTGGTATTTTAATTTCAACTATTGGTCAGGGAATTTTGATTTGTCATGAACAAGTTTTATCGGTATTCCAGCAATGTCCGCTCTGTTCAATATTTCTCACCTTTACCAAATACTAGGTAGTACGAATGATTGCTCACACTAACACATTATTATGCTCTATAGATCATAGAACTATGGACACATTTCGAATATACCTGCATTTTCTAAAATGCTCTAGACACACAAATAATTGTAAACTACCTTGGTAAAGAAAATATATTTAATTCCAATCAATACGAATTTAAAAACAATTTGTCTACAATTTTAGCTACAGACAAACTGGTATTAGAGATTAATATATGTTCCAAACAAAAATATGATACCTTCTTCTGAGTTCCTTGATCTTACCAAAACAATTGACTCTAGTATATACATCCACACACAAAATAGTTAAATAAAAACTATACTATCTACTATCTGTAGTATATCATTAAATTCTCATAGATAAATTATCTTATTATGGTTTCACTGCTCAGTGTTGGTCTTATTCACACCTCCGTAGTAGACAACAATGTGTCATTCATAATAATCCTACATCAACATGTCTCGGTGTTAATGCAGGACTACCACAAGGATTAGTTCTCGACCTGATTCTCTTCTTAATTTATGTCAAAGATTCGCGTAGCGTGAATAATATGGCTTTAACTATTTAATTTGCTAATGATACAAATCTCACTAATCGGAGTATTATAATTGATGATTTAATAGAAAAGGGTCAATTTGAAACAATTATGCAGAACTGGTTTCCATGTAATTAACTAAATTTAAATTCTACTAAGACAAAAACTGTAATATTGAGCCAAGAGAAGCTAAAGATGTTCCAAATCCTGACTATAAAATATTTAGGGATACATTTATACTAAACTTTATACTTTTATCATGGAATTGTCACACTTATAACGTATGTAAGAAAATATCTAGAAATTTATACCTTCTTCGACTACATCGTCAAGTGTCAACGCAACCTTTGAAATCCGCTTATCACAGCTTTATATACTCTGTGTTTGACCTAGAAGAGAGTTCGCAAACAGAACCTTAATAGTAGGGCAGTTTGATCAGACAGAGAATGAGCTCCGGTGCTAATCTGGTAACGTTGATACAGGGCAATTAAACTTGCAGAAAAGATCAATTTGATCAAGAAGAGCAATAAAAATAGTGATATGACTTAAATGCGAAGAATACTGCAGATAAAATTTCATTGAATATTAACATTACCTACAATGTCTATTATACATAAAGAACAACACAGAAATATATACCATGAGACTCCATTTAAGATTCACGAAAACCAGAAATGGTAGTTATTAATTGGGGTATTAAATTAAAAAAAATTAAAAATGCTTTATCAAAACAAAGATTTAAACTGCAAAAACTAAATTTATGATTAACATTAAGAATTTCTGTTGGATAAAATATTTTTGGTCAACAATCTATCTATGATATCGATATTATTTTTAATTCTACTCTGATTACACTAAAAAAATTACTTCAAAAAATTAAGGGGTCAAGCGAATTTCCGAAATTTTTCCGTGATTTTTGACAGACTGTATTTAGGTGAAAAATGGTCGTATTGGGAATGGTAAAAAAAGCATTTTGAAGCTCTAAGATTCTAGTTTTTAGATCTTTCGGTTGAAATTTTTTAGGAGTTACGGTTATCATGCAATTTTAAGAAATAGCGCGACAATAAAATGTTGCAAATTTTCTTTTTTTTTTTTCTAGTCCACGGACTAGGAAAAAATTTTTTCAGCTAAGCCATTGCATGGACCAGATAACTTGTTTATTCAGCTTCAATTTCCTTTTTTTTTTAAATTTCGATACGACTATTTTTCGTCGAAATATTGGACTTTTAATGGAAAAGGATCCTTTTGTCGTACTGAAGGGCAGTTTCGAAAACTGGAATAAATTTCCTATAACATGTTGCCGCAACTTTTCGGAAATTTTTTTTTTCATCTTTAACACGAATTTTAAAAAACTGGAAAAAAGGGTAATTTATGGTTTTTTAGAAAATTCACGGCTAAATTAGAAATATTCATGAAATGACTAATGTTTAGCCTGACTTTTACAGTTTGATATACCCAGAAGAACCCTGTGAAGTTTCATCTCGATCTAGCGAACCGTTTCTTTGTTTCAGACTTTTGAAAAAAAATAAAGGGTCACGTTTTTTGAGCTTCGTAGTCATGATTAAAATGAAAAAAGGATGTTTTGAGGTTTTATCACATTTTTTGCCGCAAATAACGTTTAAATTAATGAAAAAAAAGTTTTTTTTTGTTTTTATTTCGAAAACCTTCCGGGCATTGAAGAAAACAAAATCCAGTTTCCAGCACGATCCGGTTTTTTCGTCCTATGCTTCTATTCATCAACTTTTAATTAAATTAAAATTAAAGTTGATGACCCAAAGCAGATTTCGACCCCGATTCATACCGTTTTTTGAGACAAATTTCTAATTAATTTTAGTGCAGTCTGTAATCAATTAAAAAAGTTTTTTTCAAAACTTCTCTGAAAAAGAATTTGCAAAACTTTTTTGACGCGATATTTCTTAAAATTGCATGATAACCGTAACTCCTAAAAAATTTCGACCGAAAGATCTAAAAACTAGAATCTTAGACCTTCAAAATGTTTTTTTTTTAATTATCGATACGACCATTTTTCACCTAAATACAGTCTGCCAAAAATCACGGAAAAATTTCGGAAATTCTTTTGACCCTGTAATTTTTTGCATTAGTTATTTGATAGTTTTTTATATTCATATATTTACTATTTTNTAATAGTTGGGCAGTTTGATCAGACACAGAATGAGCTCCGGTGCTAATCTGGTAACGTTGCTACAGGGCAATTAAACTTGCAGAAAAGATCAATTTGATACAAAGAAGAGCAATAAAAATAGTGATATGACTTAAATGCGAAGAATACTGCAGATAAAATTTCATTGAATATTAACATTACCTACAATGTCTGTTATACATAAAGAACAACATAGAAATATATACTATGAGACTCCATTTAAGATTCACGAAAACCAGAAATGGTAGTTATTAATTGGGGTATTAAATTAAAAAAATTAAAAATGCTTTATCAAAACAAAGATTTAAACTGCGAACCGTTTCTTTGTTTCAAACAGTCAAACTTTTGAAAAAAATCAAAGGGTCACGTTTTTTGAGCTTCGTAGTCATGATTAAAACGAAAAAAAAATGTTTTGAGGTTTTCTCACGTTTTTTTGCCGCAAATAACGTTTAAATTGATGAAAAAAAGTTTTATTTTGTTTTTATTTCGAAAACCTTCCGGACATTGAAGAAAACAAAATCCAGTTTCCAGCACGATCCGGATTTTTCGTCCTGTGCTTCTGTTCATCAACTTTTAATTAAATTAAAATTAAAGTTGATGACCCAAACCAGATTTCGACCCCGATTCATACCGTTTTTGAGACAAATTTCTAATTAATTTTAGTGCAGTCTGTAATCACTTAAAAAAGTTGTTTTCAAAACTTCTCTGAAAAAGAATTTGCAAAACTTTTTTGTCGCGATATTTCTTAGAATTGCATGATAACCGTAACTCCTAAAAAATTTCGACCGAAAAATCTAAAAACTAGAATCTTAGAGGTTCAAAATGCTATTTTTTAATTACCGATACGACCATTTTTCTCCTAAATACAGTCTGCCAAAATCACGGAAATATTTCGGAAATTCTTTTGACCCTGTAATTTTTTGCATTAGTTATTTGATAGTTTTTTATATTCATATATTTACTATTTTTTTCAATGTTTTATCTATCACTTTGTAGTATTCTAATTTATTTGGCGTGCAAATTGTGGCACCAATAAAGAATGTAAACTAAAATTAAATATTTTCACGACGCCAAGCTTTATGTCACCAAGATGCATAGATGTTTTTTTTTTCGGAATTTACGTTGGTATGACTGTTTAAAATACCTCATTTGGTGATCACAATCTAGACCTTCTTTGGTCCACCGTGTAACCCTCCGAGCCTGGACTCTGTTGCGGCTGCTGTTGCTAAGTGGTTTCTATCGAAGCCT